GATTTAGAGGAAAGGGAGAATACTATCAGTAATTGAACTAGAGGCCTTTTGTGTTATATTCTGGCTGAGAAGTTGTCTGCGTTTTTCCTGTGTGCTGAGACCTTTTGTGAGGCTGATTTTATTTTTTAATATTTTTTTTTAAAGAGAGAGAAGAGAGAAATCGAAAGAGCGAGAAAGAGAGAGAATAGAGAATTTTTWAAAATATCTATTTTTCAGTTTTCGGTGGACACAACATCTTTATTTTATTTTATATGGTACTGAGGATTGAACCCAGCGCCCCACGCATGCCAGGTGAGCTCATTATCGCTTGAGCCACATCCCCAGCCCTAGGCTGATTTTAAAAGTGATGGACTTCTTAATCTAGCAGAAGAAATTTCTAGACAGCATAGCATTCAGGTGGTAGTATAGCTATTGCTGGCAGCTTTTAGCCAAATTTGTTATTATATTCAGAAGCAGAAAGCTCAGTAAAACTGGGGCTAAGGAATTTGCAGTCACTGAATACATTACTGACGCTAAAGAAATGCAAAAGACTTTGCTCAGAGATATTAAGAAAGATGGCTTGAGGGCATCTCAGGAATTGGCAAGATCATATCCATCTCAGACTCAAGAAAATAAAAGTAAAAATTCTTTTGAGGAAATACCCTTCTTTGCACAAGGTGGCCTAGGAAGTTTTACAATGTGTTTAGCCACCCAGACATTCAGAGGCTGCTGCAACCAGGGTCCCTGAAGGCTTGAGATGACAGCAGACCTTGGCATCAACCATGTGGTGCTAGTTCTGCAGCAATGTAGGATGCTGGAGTTAGAGGGTCCTGGAGGCTTCTACCCAGATTTCAATGGAAGGCTTAGGAGGCTAGAAAAAGTGCCCCAGGATTGAAGTCCTTGTGGAATAGCCCCTGAGAGAGCAAAGTATGGAAATGTGAGGAGAAGCTGAAAGCTGCAATAGAGACACCCCCCTAGATTAAGAAGTGTCAGTAATGTGGAACATTGTCCTAGGAAAGCTGCAGGAATTGGAGACAACCCAACAGAAAGGGTATAACCAACAAGGCCAGAGGGGTGGAGTGGAGTACACAAGCTCTTCTCTAGATGCTGGACACATAACTACAGGACTTGTTTGCCCAAGGGTTTTTCAGCCTTGCTTTGGTCCCATCCCTTCTTTCTATGCTCCTATTTTTTTTTCTAAAAATTTTTTTGTAGTTGTAGATGGAAAGAATGCCTTTTTAAAATTTATTTATTTTTAAGGGGTGCTAAGGATCAAACCCAGTGCCTCATACACTGGAGGCAAGTGCTCTGCCACTGAGCTATAGCGACAGCCCTCTATGCCCCTATTTTTGTGAATGGAAATATCTACTCTGATGGTTTATGAGAGCCTTAACCAATCAGTGAATTAATCCCTTAATGGGATTAATTGAGTGGAAACTGAAGGCAGGTAGGGTGTGCTTAGAAGAGGTGGATCATTGGGGTCATGCCTTTGGGGTATATATTTTGTATCTGGTGAATGGAGTCTCTCTTTGCTTCCTGATCATCATGTGAGCTGCTTTTCTCTGCTACACTCTTTTACTATAATGTCCCGTCTCACCTCGATCTCTGAGGAATGGAGCGTCTTCTATGGACTGAGATCTTTGAAACCATGAGCCCCCCAAAACTTCCTCCACCAAAATTGTTCTAGTTGGGTCTTTTATTCACAGCAATGAAAAAGCTGACTAAAACAGAATATAAATCAATGTAGTTATTATGGAAAACTACTTGGAGTTTTTCTCAAAAAAAAAAATTACCATGTGATTTTGCAATCCCATAACTGGGTATATGTCTGAAAGAAATTAAATTGGCATGTCAAAGGAACATTTGCACTCACGTGATTATGGCAGTGCCAATTTGCAATATGCAAAAAATGGAAACAACGCAAATGCCCATCACTTATTGAATGAATAAATAAAATGTGGACCATATAGAATGCAATACTATTTAGCCTTCACAGGGGATGAAATTCTGGCATTTTCAATTACATGAATAGAACTAGAAATAATGTTATTGAAATAAAACAGACCCAGAAAGACATGTACCATATGATTGCACTTATGTGGAATATAAAAACTTGACCTCGTAGAAATTAAGTGTATCATATTGGTTACCAGAAGTTGGGAAACATAGCAGAGAGGAAGTGATGGCAAAAGTTTGAACAATAGATACTAAGTCCTAGGACTTAGATATTCTGGTGACTGCAGATAATGAAAATGGACTGGATATATCAAAAAACTAGAAGAAATGATTTTGAATGTATTCACCTTAAAGAAATGATAAACATTTGAGATGATAAATATTTTTACCCTGATTTAAACATTACACAAGGTATATATGTGATATCAAAATATCACTTGTGATGCCATAAATATGTTATTTTTACATTTTTGTATGTCAGTAAACACAAATTTTTAATTTTATACTTTTTATAATTTTTAATTTAGTTTTAATTTAATACTTATTTCCTTTCTTGGCTTTATATTTGCTCATTGTTTATATAGATTTATAAAAGTTCTTTATAGCCAGACATGATGACGGACACCTATAATCTCAGCAACTCAGCAGGCTAAAACAGAAGGATCTCAAATTTGAGGTCAGCCTGGACAACTTACTAAGAACCTGTCTCAAAATAAAAAATAAAAAGGACTGGCGATGTAGCTTAATGATAAAGTGACCCTGGGTTCAATGCCCAGGTCCAATTAATTCGTTAATTTATAAAAAAGTTCTTCAAGAGTCATAGATATGACAAAAGACAGAACTTTTTCCCCCTCAATCTGTCTTTATGCTTGTTGTATAGAGTCTTTTATTATGTAAACATTAAAAGCTCTTACATAGTCAAATTCATCTATTTATTTGTTTTTTTAATAAAGTTTTAGTATTTTCATCTTGCTTAAAAAGTTCTTCCTTTACAGAATCATTAAATAATTGATTATATTTTCTTCAGTACTTTTGTAATTATGCTTAAATTCCATATTCAGTTGCAACTTATTTATATATTTATGTGTATGAAATGATACATAGTCCAGGCTTCTATTTTTCTGACAAAGGGCAAATTGTACTGATATTCATAAACCATTCTGTTTCTTAACTGATACTAGAAATCACCTTTATCAGAAATTAAACCTCATTGTATATGTGGGTTTCCGTCCTATCTCTCCAGTCTGTAAGCCCAATATAGTTTTCAATTTTTCATGTCAAACTACAGGTTTTTGTAACTTCTAAAGTTTTATTTTTAATTTAGTATTTGAATATACTCCCAATTATTGTTTTTAATCAAATATCAGGGACTTTTTTCTTTCAAAATTATCTTCTAGGTAAAGACGATAACCTCAGACTACAACTAAAACACTTTTATTTGAATTGAATTAATGTATCAAGTTGGGAATATTTATCTTTTCCATGCAATAAAATGACATGTTATGCTATTATCTCTGCTCTTGTTTTATGCCATTCAGTAAAGTTTTATTATATTTTTACTGAACTTATCCTATTAACCTTATTTCTAAGCATTTTGTATGTTTTGTCAGTTTTATGTATGGAGTCATTATATTATTTCATTTTCCAATCAATTAGTTCTGGCAGAAGAAAAATCTCTTGATTTCTAAATTTATCTGATAGACACAGTCATCCTATCATGTTTTGCTTATACGTTGTATTTTTTTTAAGTTATGGCCCAGATTCTTTTAGGTATACTAATCAAACACAAAAGTAATAATCATATTACATATAATATACTATATACAGTTGGAGTACATAGCTGGGTTCAAAAGTGGAAAAAAAAAGATTATGAATATTATAAACAACAAGGGAACATACAACTCCAATGGTGATCTGGAGTTAAAATTCCCTGTGTGTAGCATATTCAAATAGAGATGAAAAGAGGATAATGGAAGTAAGGATTGAATAATCCCATGTTATTTCTTGCTGGAATTTGTATTCAGGAATATTGTTAGCATTGGACAAGAGAGTCAGCATTTTCCATATTTAATGGAAAGCAAGTTTCTATGAACTAGGACTGACCAGGTTTTGGTCGGCAGTAGAGTAACCTGTGAGACACCAGCTCCTCCCAAACTGGGGTTCCTGAAGACATGAGCATTTTCCAACAATGATTGGTTGAAGAAGGTCTTGAATGTATGAGGAGTTGAAAACATTGGTGGTTGTATAATCAATCAACTTTCTCTAATCTCCCTAAGTGATACAAAAAAAAAAATCACAACTATGAAAATTCTTGTTAAAATCATGGCTTTAGCAATAATTGAAGACAATAAATGTTCAAACCTCAAAATCACTGTGGGAAAGAAGAGAAAGCCAACAAATCCCACGCAGGATCTTTCTCATTCCATTCCCACCCTGTCCGCTGCAAGATCTGTGAGAAGCAAAGAGAGAGTAAGAAAAACCACAGGGAAAGCAAGAGACAGATTGACTAACAGGTGGTCCAAAGAGGATTTGTTCAAACCACTGGAAAGATAAAATCATACCAAATATGAAAGTTCAGAGAAGAGACTGCAGAAGTAAGTGATTTTAAAGTACATGGGATTTAAAGGGACAAATGCTACATAAAAAATCAATTGGGCAACTTAAAAGGGAGGCTTATCATAAAGGTCTAAGTGCAAAATTGAAAGGGGTAGGAATGAGTTTTAAGGATAGATGAGAATTAAAGGGATTCTCTTCTAAATGCATAGTTTCTGATGGAGAAAACAATTAAATAGGGACAAACAAGAACCTTTCCCTTCCTAATTGCTGTAGGACAATGAAAAAAATTAGGATCCTGGAAATCAAAAAAGAATCATTTAATTGGGAGACTACCAACTACTCCCTGCTAACAAAAATTAACAAACAATAGTGACAGATTACAAATTAATTAATTACAAATTAATAGAAATTTTTCTCTGTGTGTTTGTGCATGGTTTTATTTTTAATAAAATGCCCAAAGCTGAAAATGAAAGCATTTTAATTTTTTTATTAAATTTTCTTTATTAAAGCATTGTGGAAGATGACAGTGATAGAAAATGGCAGTTTATTTGGTGGATTGATTTTTTTGCTGCCGGTCTTCTTGCATGGTCTGCTGTAATACCATTGTTATGCTTTCCACATGACATACCAGGTGAATGTAAAAATATAATTCATTAATTAAAGTTTAGTACTTCCCACCCCTTAGCTCCCAAGAGTTCGGAGCATGGCTGAGCTACATCTCCTACTGGTAGTGGTCTCTCCATTGAGACATAGCTTCTTGTGATAGTATTTTTTGAACAAATGAAACAACCCTACAGCCAAATATTTTATTTGTCTACCACAATTTGAGTAATAAATATTTTTGCTTCTCATTATTTCCTTTTACAAATGCTTTATGTCTAGAGTTCATAATTTTAAACATGAAGTATATATAGATCTGTTTACCTAGCATGATTCAATATATGCACTATGTCATAAAATGTTTTTAAGATTAAATTACTAGTAAAGTGATGTGGAAGCACTAAAAAAACCTGTAACATCAGAGAAATCTGGTTCTTGATTGTGCATTTCATGGGCACAGCATGTTTTTAGAAACAACAAATATTATTTTTTTCATGTTTTATGACTGTGCTTTCAAACATTTAGCCATTTGTTAAATGTGCCCATTTAAATTTTAAAACAAATTAAATTAAAAATTAAGTTACTTGATAATAGGAACTATATTTCAAGTATTTATTAGGCATTTATATAACTAGTAGTTATAGTATTGGACAGTGTTAATATGAAAAATTTTCATTATCACAAAATGGTCTTTAGGACAGCACTGTTTTAGAAGATGTGTCTTTTACTTAATAGGATTAACTTTAGATTGTTTAAAAATAATTCATGTCCCTTTTCATTACAAACTGGATTTATCTGTGTGTGTATGTATGTATTATATATGTATTTAACTTATTTGAACATGTCATAAAATTCTGTTGCTTGTTAACATATAGGTACAGCAAAAATAAAAGCTATAAAACGTAAACAACAGACTCATTTGTTTGGTGACAAGCTTAAAAATAAGAAATTTGGACCTGGTATTAAGGACTTGTTTGCTGCTATTGGGGTAAAGTAAATTACTTTATATGAAAAATGAATTAAGTTGATCTTTACAATTTTCTAATAGTGGACTTAAGAAAGTAGCCATAAAGTGTTCAACTTAAGTCTGGATGAAACTTTTGGAGTCTTTTTATTAAAATATTCCATTTTCATATAATGGGAACCAGGACCCATCGCACTCAACTGTCATTACCAAGAGTATGTTGGTGTGAGAAACTGATATCAGGTATATTCTATTTCTTTTAATTTTCTTTTTATATGATTTTGTGTTTATTTTTCCCTGAAGAAATAAATATGGCATTTAATGAGATGACAAGTAGTCATCAACATTATATTTTATTATGTTTAATTCAGTGAGAACGAATCTGGAAGTTAACACATAATACCACAAGTACCATATTCCATGGAAAATGTCTCATCATGATGTGAAATGGAGCACTCACACCTATCATACAGTCATCATGATGGCATAAAACATGCCAACTTTCAAATAGTGAGATTCTACTTTTCTATTCTTATAATTTTATATTTTATGGCACTTGCATAATTTTATTATACATTTATATTATATCAAGTCCTATCTCAGATTATTCTGTAGATAAAATTCATTCTCTGTCTCTCTCTCTCTCTCTCTCTCTCTCTCTCTCTCTCTAAATTAGAGCACTACATTTATACATTGTAGTTGGGTTCATTTTAACAGAATCATACATTCAAGGAATTTGGCTTCAGTTCCCCACTGCCTTGCTTTCACTCCCCTTATTTTAATTCCTCTACTATACTGTTCTTCTTTGTGTTCACTTATCTATTGATTTATTTAACTATTTTTAATAAATTTTATTTGTTCTAGTTATTTATACATGACATAATACATTTATGCACTTTGATATATTATACATAAATGGGGTATGATTTCTCATTTTTCTGATTGTACGTGTTGTAGAATCACAGTGTTCCTGAGTCATATATGTACATAAGGTAATGATGTCTGTTTCATTCTGCTAACCTTTCTATCCTCATACCCCTCCCCTTCTGTCACTCTCTTCTGCCTAATCTAAAGTAACTCTATTCTTCCATAGTGACCTCCCCTATTGTGAATTAGCATCTTAATATAAAAAAAATTGGCTTTTGTTTTGGGGGGATTGGCTTATTTTACTTAGCATGATATTCTTCAACTCAATTCATTTACCAGCAAATGCCATAGTTTCATTTTCTATAGCTTAGTAACATTCCATTGTATGTATGTGTGTGTGTGTATATATATATATATATATATATATATCACATTTTCTTTATCCATTCATCTATTGAAAGGCATCTAGGTTGGTTCCTAGTTCAGCTGATGTGAATTGAGCTGCTATAAACATTGATGTGGCTGCATCACTTATAGCATGCTGATATTAAGTCCTTTCATTATAGACTGAGGAGTTGGATAACTGGGTCAAATGGTGGTTCCATTCCCAGTTTTCAGAGGAATCTCCATCCTGCTCTCCASAATGGTTGCACCAATTTACAGTACCACCAGTAATGTATGAGTGTACCTTTCCCCCCACATCCTCAGCAACAGTTATTGTTGACTATATTCTTGACGATTGCCATTCTGACTGGAGTGAGAAGAAGTCTTAGTTTTGATTTGTATTTCTCAAATTGCTAGAAGGCTAAACCCAAGGCCAATATAGTTCTAAATGTAAAAAATTGAAAGTATTTTCTCTAAAAGCTGGAACAAGACAAGGATGCCCTCTTTCACCACTTTTATTCAACATTGTCCTTGAAACTATAGCCAGAACAATTAGAAGAAAGAAACTAAAGGGATACAAATAGGTAAAGAAGAACCTAGATTATCACTATTTGCTGATGTTGTGATTCTATATTTAGAAGATCCAAAAAATTCCACTGGAAAACTTCTAGAACTAATAAATGAGTTCAGCAAAGTAGCAGGATATAAAATCAAAACCCATAAATCAAATATGTTCTTATACATCTGTGGTGAATCCACTGAAAGAGTAATTTGGAAAGCTACCCCATTAAAGTAATAAAATAATTGGAAATCAATCTCACAAAAGTGGTGAAAGAACTGTACAATGAAAACTACAGAACCAGGGGCTGGGGATGTGGCTTAAGCAGTAGCGTGCTCGCCTGGCATGTGCAGGGTGCTGGGTTCGATCCTCAGCACCATATAAAAATAAAATAAAAATGTTGTGTCCACTGAAAACTAAAAAAATACATATTAAAAAAATCTCTCTCTCTCTCTCAAAAAACAAACAAACAATAACAACAACAACAACAACAACAAAAAAAAACCACTACAGAACACTAAAGAAAGAAATTGAAGAAGACCTTAAGATGGAAACATCTCTATGCTCTTGGATAGGCAGAATTAATATTGTCAAAATGCCCATACACCAAAAGCATTATACAGATTTAATGCAATTTCTATTAAAATCCCAATGTCACTCTTCATAGAACTAGAAAAAAAAATCATGAAATTCATTTGGCAAAATAGGAGACCCAGAAGAGCCAAAGCAATCCTGCAAGAAAAGTGAAGCAGGAAGCATCACAATATCAGACCATAAATTATACTGCAGAGCTATAGTAACAAAAATGGCATGGTATTTGTACCAAAACAGACACATAGACCAATGGTACAGAATAGAAGACACAGAGACAAACCCACATAAATACAGTTATCTCTTACTTTACAAAGGCATCAAAAACATTCACTGGAGAAAAGATAGTCTATTCAATAAATTATGCTGGGAAAAATGGAAGGCCATATAAGAAATTGAAATTAAACCTCTGCATTAAACTCAACTCAAAGTGGATTTAGGCCCTAGAATAGAGACCCTAATAGAAGAAAATAKAGCACCTAATAGAAGAAAAAGTAGTCCCAGATCTTTACCATGTCAGCCTAGGTTCTGACTTCCTTAACAAGACTGTAAAGTGCAAGAAGTAAAATCAGGAATCAATAATTGGGACAGATTCAAACTAAAAAGCTTCTTTTCAGTGAAAGAATCAATATTGTGAAGAGAGAGCCTACAGATTGAGAGAAAATCTTCCCACATGCACCTCAGATAAGCATTACTCTCTAGGATATATAAAGAACTCAAAAAACTTAACACCACCCCCCCCCMAAAAAAAAGTAACCCAGTCAATAATTGGGCTAAGAAACTGAACAGACTCTTCATAGAAGAGGAAGTACAATCAATTAACAAATATGTAAAAAGATGTTCAGCTTCTCTAGCAATTATCTACTAATTTTCTAGTGGTACTTTCTTTCTACTTAAAGGTGAAATTCCCTTTGGCATATTTATATATGCAGATAAAATTATTTGGTTAAATTTGTTCCATATTTCTTTCCCTTTTAAGTCCTCCCCACTCCTCCTTGTTTTCCTTTACTACTTCACTGATCTTCTCTATGTATTTATGACATCCAATCTCCCTACCCTACTTTCTTTCCCTTATTTTGCTCTACTTTCCACATATGAGAGAACACATTCAATCCTTGACTTTCTGACTCTGGCTTATTTCATGTAGCATGATGCTGTACATTTTCACCCATTTACCAGCAAATGCCATAATTTTATTTTTCTTTATAGCTGAGTAAAACTTTGTTGTGTATATATACCACATTTTCTTGATCCATTCATCTATTGATGGGCATTTTGACTGGTTTTATACTTTGGCTATTGTTAATTGGGCTTCTATAAATATTGAAGTGGCTGTATCACAATAGTATACTGATTTTAGTTCTTTTAGATAAATCCTGAGGAGTAGGGTAGCTGGGCCACATGCTTGTTCCTTTCTTACTTTTTTGAGGAATCTCCATACTGCTTTCCAACCAAATGAAATTAAACCTCTGCATTAAACTCAACTCAAAGTGGATCAATATAAAGCAATATATAGATTCAGTGTAATACCCATGAAATATATCAGTGTCACACCAACAATATATCAGTGTAACTTTTTGCCCTAATGCTTTCCAGCATTTATTTGTTTGCATTCTTGGTAATTGCCATTTTGACTAGAGTGATATGAAATCTTAGTGTAGTTTTGATTTGCATTTCTCTGATTGCTGGAGATGTTGAAATTTTTTTTCGTATATGTCTTGGCTATTTGTTTTCCTCTTTTGAGAAATCTCTAATTAGTTATTTTGCTTTTTTATTGATTTTTTTTGGCATTGAGTTTTTTGAGTTCTCTATGTATTCTGGATATTAATCCCCTATCAGAGGAGCAACTAGCAAATATTTTCTCCCATTCTMTAGGCTCTCTTTTCCCACTTTTAATCAATTTTCTTTGCTGCACAAACTTTTAAATTTGATAACATTCCACTTATTGATTCTTTGTTTTATTTCTGTAGTTTTCATTGTAGAAGTTTTTCACCTCATTGGTTAGATTAATTCCAAGGTATTTTATTTTATTTTACCTTATTTTTTTGAGATTATTGTGAAAATGATGGTTTTCCTGATTTATTTCTCAGATGAGTCACTTTTGGAGTATAAAAAAGCTATTGATTTATGAGTGGTGATCTTCTATACCTTTATGAATTCATTTGTTAGCTCTAGAAATCTTCTGGTGGAACTTTTTTGGGTCTTCTGGATATAGGATCATGTCATCAAAAAATAAAAGTAATTTGATGTTTTCTTTTCCTATTTGTATCAGTTTAATTTTCTTCTCTTGCTTTATTCCTCTGGCTAGAGTTTCAAGGGCCTATATTAAATAGAAGTGATGAGAGTGAATATCCTTGTCTTGTTTCTGATTTTAAAGAAAATGCTTTCAGTTTTTCTCTGTTTAGTATGATATTAGTTTTGGGTTTGTCACATATAGTATTTAAAATAGAGGTAATTTCTTCTATCACCAGTTCCTCTAGAATTCTTAACATGAATGGATGCCAGATTTTGTCAAAGGACTTTTCTTTATTGGGATGATCAACTRATTCTTATTCTTAATTACATTTAATTGGTGAATTCCATTTATTGATTTTTGTATGTTAAACCAACCTTGTATCCCAGGGATGAAGCCCAATTGCTTATGGTGTTTTATCTCCTTGATGTGTTTTTTACTATGGTTTGTAGTATTTCATTAAGGATTTTTGCATTGATATTGGTCTGTAGTTTTGTTTCTTTGATGTGTCTTTGTATGGTTTTGGAATCAGGGTTATACTGACTTTATAGAATTCACTTGGGAGTGTTCTTTCCTTTTCAGTTTCATAGAATAATTTGAGAAAGACTGGTGTTAGTTCTTTAAATGTCTGTTAGAACTCAGATAAGAATCCATCTGGTCCTGGACTTTTATTTGTTGAAAGGCTTTTAATTGTTGCTTCAAATTTGTTATTTTGATATTGGTCTGTTTATATTTTCTCTATCTTTCTGATTCAATTTAAGCAGATTATATGTGTCTAGAAATTTGTCAGTGTATTTTAGATTTCCAGTTTATTGGAGTATAAATTTTCAAAATAGTTTCTAATGATTCTCTGATTTCAGTAGTGTCTGTAGTGATATTTTTCTTCCCATCTCTAATTTTGTTTATTTGGGTCCTCTCTATTAATTTTTGTTAGTTGGGCTAAGAGTCTATTAATCTTGTTTATCTTCCAAAGAGCCAAGTCTTTGTTGTATTGATCCTGTGTGTTGTTATTTTATTCTCGATTTTATTAATTTTGGCTATGATCTTTATTATTTTATGTATTTTACTTATTTTATAGTTAGTTCTTTTTAAGGTCTGGAGATGGAACATAAAGTTACTTATTTGGAATCTTTTTATTTTTTTTTTAAATGATGACACTCAATGTTATCAATTTTCCTCTTAAAACTGTGTTCATACTGTCCCAGAGATTTTGATATGTTGTATCTCCATTCTCACTTGTTTCTAAGAATTTGATTTCTTCTCTCATTTCTTCTTCGATCCATTCTTCATTTAAAAGAGTGTTTTTCAATCTCTGTGTACTTATGTGGTTTCCATTCTTTTTCTTGTTGATTTCTAGTTTCATTCAATTATCATCTGATAGAATGCATGGGCATTAAATCTCTCTCTCTCTCTCTCTCTCTCTCTCTCTCTCTCTCTCTCTCATTTTTTGTATTTTCTAAGATTTATATTGTGACCTAGAATATTATCCATTGTGGAAAATGTTTCATAAGCTGCTAAGAAGGTAAATTCAGCTGTTTGGGGTGACATATTCTCAAGTTTTATTAGGACTATTTGATTTATAGTATTATTTAGGTTAGAAATATCTATATTGCTTTTATGTTTTGATGACCTATTGGTGATAAAGGTACATTTAAATCAGTTAGTATTATTGTAGTAAGATATCTCTGAGATGTAGTATCAAGGAGTATTTTTTTATACAATAGTACACACTGACATCCATGGCATATGTAATTACTATCATTATATCTTCTTTTGTTGGATGTTTCTCTTTACCAGGAGGCAGCGGCCTTCTTTTCTTCTTCTGAATATATATATTTTTTTTGCTTGAAATCTTCTTAGTTACGTATGAGATTCTTCTGCTTTATTTTTGAACTCCTTTTGCCTGGACTATTTTTTCCCATCCTTTTACCTTCAGCTTATGAGTGCCTTTGCCTATGAGATGAGTCTCTTGAAATGGTTTTTAATTAGATCTTGTTTTTGACCCATTCTGCTAATCTGTATCTTTTAATTGGGAAGTTGAGATCACTTACATTCAGTGTTATTATGAATATGTGTTTGTGGTTTCCTGCCGTTTTGATTTTTTTACTTTATTCAATTCTGTTCTGATTCTAATGCAGTTGATTAATATTGATCTTCATATATTTGGGAGCTTTGGGATTAGTTTTGGGATCTTCTGTGTGCAGTATATCTTTGAGTATTCTTTGTAGCGCTCATTGGTAGTTTTATTCTCCCTTCATAATAAACATTAACTGATTTTTCTTACCTCWTTTTTTTCAGATTTTATTCCTATGTTCTCCACATTCTAATCACTATCTTGGTCCTGATCATATCAAGTATGTTATCATACTGCTTATTTGTACATGCTAATCTATTTATTTAAACTGTCCTTCTCTCTTTTCTTCATTCCAAAACAAACAAAAATCCCTTTTTCACATCTTGTCTTATTTTTCTAGGCAAAATGACTTTCTCCTTAATGCTCCAGAAAAAAAAATACACACATGTGCACAACACATGCACACACACACACACACAAACAATGTTTTTTAGGACAACACTATTTTAGTAGAATGTGTTCATACACACACACATATTTAACACATATACAAATATATATGTTTTAATTTTTATATTATTCTAGTTCTTCCTAAGATAAATGGCTATAGTTGTATAAAATAAGAACATTTTAACTTGTTTCTATTTGTCAAGTGTTATTTTGTCAAACTATAAATAATTTCTATAATTGATTATATTTCATTAAGATTTTACCAAATTTTAATTTCATCAGAACACTACATGTACCTACTTTAACAATACAGAAGCCAACAATTAGTCACAACCTCTTTCATTTAAAAAAAAATAAAATACAATCATTAAAGTGCACTTAAAATTTGAGCATAAGTGTTTTAAGTTTTTTTTTCCTTTTTAAAAGAATGCTTTTGTTTTTGTTTTTTGTAATGGGATATTTAATAACTGGGCCACATCCTCAGGCTTCTTTAATTTTTTTTTAAGATAAGATCTAAGTTGCTAAAGCCATCACTAAGTTTCTGAGGCTGGCTTTGAACTTGCAAACCTCTTACCTCAGCCTTCCAAGTTGCTGGGATTATAGGTGTATACCATGAAACCTGGTCTCCCTCATATTAAATACCTTAGATTAAAAAAGCAATATTAAAAAAGAAAGACTATTTTATAACATAGAAGTGCGAAAATATTTGTTAGACAAGATTTAAATAATGTAAAATGTACATTCAAATTTTACAGATTAGATAATATCAAGTTGAAGATTTCTGTTCTAAGAAGAAAACTAGACAACATTAATAGACTAGTAATAGAAAACTAAATCCAAGAGATTTTCTAGAATGAATATGGAATTCTTGGAAAATCTACACAAAATTTATGACCAAGTCAGAAGTCATGTAGCCTTGTTTACCTGGTTGAGACAGTCATAGGCCTTTCCAAGATCAATGACTGTTAGTCATAGAATAGTTCTGGAAAGACTTGCAGAACCCAAAAAATTGCTCTAAAAATTTTGGATAGTGTAAGTTGATACATGAAGAAATTGGATCTTTTTTATACTGAGATGCTAACACAAACAGATACCTCAGCAGAATGATCTGGATATTAGAGAAATGAAGTATTTATTCTAAGTCCTAATATCCTAGTAACTCCATTCAAGGATACATAATTCCAAAGATATTCCCTCCGCCRGATACTACACTAAAAGTACATGTACAGGAGTTTTTAAGATAGCCACGCTTATTAGAGTAGGAAATTAAAGGCAATATAAATATTCAGTCTTATGGGGATGGATAAATATAGTGATATCACACTATCCCAATTAAGATAGTACTCAGAAGCTGAACTAGATAAATATGCAAAATATATCAGTGAGCAGAGTTTTTCCCAAATCTTTGCAACTAGCTACTAGGCCCATTTTTATGTGGAGAGCACATAAAAATGAAAGTGAACATTTTATAGAATGGGTATATGGGTTAATTGTACATTATATAATTGTACATATATATATGTATCTTTTTTTTTGGTGGGGTTCTTTTTTTGTTTTTTTTTTTTTTTTTTGGAACTGGAGTTTGAACCCAGGGCTTTGCAAATGCAAGGCAAACACTTTGCCACTGAGCTACATCCCAGCCCGCATATATATATATATATATATATATTTGATAATTACATATATCTATTTCCCTTTATATTGGGGGAGGTAAATTTTTATAGATCCTTAACATGCATGGGCATATCTATTTGTCTTAACTAACAAAATGTAATAATTACTATATAACTTATTTCTACTTCAGATCCTACTGAAGAATCCAGTGTTTTTATGCAAAGCTGTGTCCAAAGCCTCAGAATTCTTAATTTTGATTGGAGCTTCTGAATTTATACCTATATATTTAGAAAATCAGTTCATAATAACAGCCAGGATGGCAGCAACACTTACAGGTAAATTTTCCTTCTCACTGTGCTGATTTAAAAAAAAATTGTATGAACTCTACATATATATATATGTGTGTGTGTGTGTGTGTGTGGTGTGTATATATATATATATATATATATATATATATATATACATACATACATATACATATACGAAATATTTAATGTAATTAGAAAATAAAAGAGCAGTGTATGCAAATGTTGCAAAAGCACCATTTGCCAAAATTTAAGAATTTGAATTCTTTGCTATCACCAATAATTTTTAACACATCAAATTTTAAGGACATCATTACATCACTGTCTAATCCATTTCTCCTGCTCCTTTCCCTTAGATAACAACTCTATTAAAGTTACATTGTGTACTTTTATACATATTTGCTCACATTTTCTGCTTGTCAGAAAATATATATTCAATATATTTCTAAAATTTGTATATAATTTATACAAACTCTTCTACTTTTTTCATCAGAAATTTTATTCTTCAGAATCATGTTGATCTGTAGCTATTTAATGCATCTCAATTGTGCTATGGGATTCTATTCTATGAATACATCACTTTTTGCATTATCATATTAACAAATATGAAGTGGCCTTTAATTTCTTACCTTTTAACCAATGTAATAATAGATTTGTTGATGTATGCTCATTTATCAATGTTGTTCTATGTTTCAACATTAAAGAACAATCACTATTGTATATATCATAAATTTTACTCGTTATTGAGAATTTGGCTCTCCAAAAGAGATTGCTAATGGAATTCATTGTTATAAGGGTCTAGAAGTAATGGGAAAGTGGTAAAGATAATCAGTTGTTTCAGGCTGTAACTTTTAGTGTAACAAATAAAAGAAAATAACAAGGTATTTGTTATTAAATTTGGTTAAAATCAAAACTAGAAAAGAAAGAAAAAAGACATAAAATATTTGGCTAAATAAAAAGCAAACTTTAACCTGTGGAGAAAACTTTTTTAAATTAAAAATTTCAGTAGATTTTTCTATTAAAAGACTAGCATTGTTGAATTACATATTTTCCAAAAAGCCTAAACATGATGCAACTCTGTTTCCATGGCCATTATGAAAATTTTTTCCATGAGTATACCACATTATTGATTTGATTAACCTAACCAACAGAAATTGGAACTAAATACATTCAATTTGTTTCTTATAGTATTTAATTCAGCCTAACAGTTTCAAAGACATAGGATGAGACCACCTACTATATTGGCCTCATCCATTGACCTTCAAGATTCTGGACCCAGTCAGCTGAACAAATCCTTTAGCCCTAGGCTTCCCCTTAATATTCTATTATTAACCTTTTCATGTAGCCTGAGGTGCTGGTTCAAGTATAACAAAATACATTAACAATAGCACATTCCATGTTGGCCTACAATGAAGAAGTTTTGGGTAATTCTGTAATTTGTAACGTTGATCAGTGAGTGAGGTTTACCAGAGTGCTTTCCAGGGCTGAGATGGTGTCATTGATTATTTCAAGTAAAATCAAAGGCAAATTTTGTACCACCTTTTCTAATTGGATAACTCTAATTGTAGAGATAATTTCTCTCAGAATTAATACAAATAATGTGTCATTAATTCCTATGTCAATAATTCCTCTGGGTAATCAARGGCAACTTCCTTTCAAAGAGATTTCCATGGACTTCTGAGACTACATGATCTACTTGTGTGTTTATTTGAATGCTAGATCATCTCTTATGACTACCCTGTGTTCTTGATTAAATAATTTTCATTGGGCAAGTAAATATTGTCAAATAATTTTGAGTCTGATTTGGTCTATCCCAAATGAGAATATTAGTCCCCAGAGCTATTGGGTCTCTAGATTTCAAGGCTTCAGTTTCAACAGGAGGCCAGTAATAAGTTGGTAGTTTTTTTTTTTTTTACAGAATAACTGTTTTAGAGTGTCAGTTAGTCCTAAACATCAAGTGGAAACTTCCTCTCCTTCCCTCTGCACAATATCATCAGACATTAGGACTTGTAGCTCAAAGGGTTCATTTGACTTGTAGCACCTCAGGGTAGATAGTATGCTATAGCTTGTTGATTGGCTTTAATGTAGATTTGTGGGTTATACACACTGTTGGTTAGGTAATAAAAGACCAAGTGGAATGCTAAAGTAAGACATCTAAAATCTCTTAATTTCTAGCGCCTGAAAAAATGCTCTCAACCTTTTGTTTGGAGAGAAGAAAGAACATCAGTTTCTTCTTGACTGCCAGAGAGATAGGATATTGTGAATCTTTCAAGATAGTCTTTGAAAAAATATGATGAGAAGCCTTGTGGATTTTTGCCACAGCCCCAAATCTCAGCTGAGGCCATTAATTCAGGAGATCACTGGCAAGGGGGCAATGGGGGATTGAGAGAAGACAAACAGATAAACATTTAGAAAGAAAGCTGGGGTCAGGTGGGACAGTATCCTTTGATAAAGGTATAATGCCCCAGAGCTAGCTTGGCAAATTTATTATATAGGTTTCATCAAAAGGCTATTTTGGGGAAAGTTTCGGCAAAGCAGGCAATCTGAAGGGCATAGGACTGGCAAGACATTAGGATTATTTATCTTGTTATGTTCAGAATTCTCCATCCCCAAAAGTTGGTGTCTGAGCTCAAGGTCCAGAGTGATAACATCTGTGCACCTTTGCATAGAGCCTCCTCAGGCTGGGTGTCACCATTGCAACTGGGCCATCTTGACCTGCACCTTTGCATAGGAAGTTCCCAGTTCAAAGCAACCTCAAGGCAATCAGAGAGATTCAAGTCACTGCTCTACACAGATTTTTTTGAACATTATCAGTTCCCTTTGCTAGTAAAGGTGTAAAAATAATTAAGTCAGTGTTATTGAGTCTGAGGCTTCTGATCCTCTAGCCAACTGAATACCATCTGTTAGTATAAGGTCCAAACCAGCATATAGGGGTACTCAGACTAAATCTGACCTGCTCCCTTGTAGCAAATGGCTACAAACAGTTTAGGTACCTCTGAGGGTATACTGAAACATGTATTTGAGGCCTTATAGCATGAATGATAATTGATCTTTATCTTTGGGTAGGAGTGGGATCCAAAAGCAGGCGTTGGCAATGTCCAAGATAGCATATAAAGTGCCATCAGTTGGTGAACTACATTTATTCTTGTCACTATGTCTCCAATAACCAGGGGTATAAGGAGCAACCCCTGAATTCAGTAGGTTGTCAATTTCCTCAAACCTCATGTTCCTCTTACCATTTTTAATTGAACATAGAAACTATTAAATTAATATATTTTCATGTCTTCCTACTCTTGCTGCATTTTAGTTAGTATGAAAATCTGCAACTTCCCTTTTTAGTTATTGTAAGTTGTTTTTCATAGACATACACAAGGAAGGCACTTTGAGTAGCAATTAATGAGTTCTGATATCATTTGGAGTATCAGAAGCTTTTAAAATAGAAATACCAATTAACATCAGTATACTAAAACCACAAGAAAAGTACATTGAAATTTTCTAAAGAACCACCTACGAGATGGGTGTCCCTTCTTTTCAGGTGCAGTAAGAATCTAAATTCTATTCAATGTGTAATCTATGACTTCACATAGGAGTTTTTTTATTTTATGGAAATCTTTCTAAGATGATCAATAAATACTTGTAGCACACAGGATGCATGGCATAAAACTCTGAGATAATTTATTACTATCTTATAATAGATCAATGGTTAAAATGACAGTAAGATACATTGAAATTTAATTTTAACAAGAAATTATACACTCCATTCCCTCCATACTCTAAGCAAATCAACTAAAGTTCTGATAGATCTCCTGGTCACTGCACATAATGACTGTAAATTTCTTCCTTTTTTTTTTACACTCAGTCTGGTTGCACAACTTTGTTAAATGTTGTGTGAAAGAAAAAGGAATCTTTTGTGTAATCACAATGAATGCTAATAATAGTGGTTACAATGAGTCAGACCTCAGGTTATTAAGGTCAGATTGACAGGAAGTGCTTCTGTCTGTCTTGCGTTATTTTAATAATAACATAATCTTCTGTGGAAAGAAAAAAAGGAAGGAAACAATGGAAGAAAATAGTGTCATAAGAACCAAAGTAGAAGACATACAAAGCTTCCAAACACTAGAAAAAATAAGAATAAAAGTTACTTCTTTGAAAAGATTAATAAAATTAACAAAGCATTAATAAAATTGAGCAAGAAACACATACAGCATAACATAAGTGAGAAGATTAGATGGTAATGCACACCACAAATGTTAGAAGAATAAGACCATCATTGAAAAATATTTCATGTGTAAGTCTAATAGTATCAGGGAAATGGAAAACTTACATAGAAACACAATTTAAGAAAACAGAAAGTATAAATGATGTTAAATTTTTAGTGAGATGACATCCATCATTACAGAGCTTCTTTTATAGTCAACCCAAATGTAAAATAGCCTCACCAGTGATTCATTTTTTTAAGAAAAAAAATTGACACGTTTTACACAGTGCCCTCCAGATAAATAAATACATAGCAAACACTTTCTTCCTGTTTTGTAAATCTACCATAAATTTGATAGACAACCCTATCAAGAACAATATAAAAAAGGAAAATTTGATTTTTTTTGTTTCCAGGATTTCTTTTGGTGATTTTTCAGAATCTCACCTCTTTTGAAATGCATTTTCATATCCTGCATTTTCTCCCTCAGTTTATTCCTTAGATCTTTCTTCAATTAATTAATCTTTTTAACAATTAACTTTTAAAATTCTTTACCCATCATTTCCTCCACTTTGACATTTATGTGATCAAGTATTGGAGAGTTATGAACTTTTGAGGGCACCTTGTTTTCTCATATCTATCTCTATGTCAATTTTTGTATGTGCACTGGAAGTATTATATGTTTTAATCTCTTCTACTGTCAAATAAGGGACTTTTTAGTGAGCTCCTTTCTTTTTTGCTACATGCCCTGGCCTCGGTATATATCTAAATGTCAGTACTTCTCAACATGATTATGCTGTGATGTTCAGTCTTTAGCACCACTGTGAGATCTAAT